AAAAAAAAAAAAAAAAGATCTCCCTCCTTCCTTGAACCTCCTCTTCTACATCCCTCTTTTAATGTTCTTTCACCATTTCTGAGCTGGAAAAATAAAAAGGAACTGAATGCTAAAGAAGCTGTTCTATTATTGCTGGTAAACTACAGCCTCTGTGTAAATCTTGGTAAACACAATTACTGACATCCGGCCGCTCTGCCCTATCCTCTATCTTGTTCAGTGGGGATTTCAGTTACTTAATGTCCTGCAGCCCCATAGAACCTTATATCATCCAGAACTACAAAATGGGAAGCAACCCAGTGCTTTTTGTTTTTGGTGGTGGTAAGAATTGCAAGCAGAGCCTTCACATTGAGCTATATCCCAGGCCTTTATTTTTTATTTTGAGACAAAGTATAAGTTACTAGGGTACCCAGGCTGGGTTTAGCCCAGTGGTTTTTAACCCTTAAGGCTTATGTGTGTGCCTAGTGGCAAAAATCATGGTAGTTTCTCCAGATCAGATACCACAGATCTCCGGTTTCTCAAAAAAAAAAAAAAAAAAAACCTTTTGAGAAATGGTAGTTGATTCTCTTTTCCTTTTCTCTTTTTATAGCTTTACATGTCACAGGAAGCTATTTCTCTCTTACCTGCTCATCAATGCTTAAAGATAAGAGTTGTAAAGCTTATTATTTTTTTAATTTTAGGGAAGGGTCTACAGGGTGTTTGGGGTCTCACTACTAGATTGGACTCATAGTGACCTGCCTATTTACAGCCTCCCAAGAGCTGGGATTACAGCCATGTGCCACCACACCCAGTCTCAGTTGCCTCTCAGTGATCCCCAGGGTCAGGGCTGGCATGGCAGGCCCGGATATTGAACCCCTGGCGCCTGCGCCTGCTTGCAAGCACTTTAAATCTGCTCAGCTATTTGGCCAGCCCTTGTGAAGCTTTTTTTTTTGCCAAGAAAATAGTTTCTTTTCAAGGTTTAGGTGACCTTTAGCTAAATTGGCTCCATTTTGGTAAACAGCTAATTGTGAGGGGAGCTGGAAGTGACTCCAGGGACACTATTCTCAGAAGGCATGGTCCCTTGGACAGAATCACAGGTTCTGAGTTTGAGGAAGCAAGAAGACGAAACAAGATGAAACAAAATCAACCTATAACAAGTACTAGGGTTGGAGTTTTCACAAGGTGGAACTTAAGCAACCTTCCAACACTCCATTACTTTTTTGCTGGACATTTTGGTTTATTCATTATCTATAAATACATTCAAATGATAAGGGAAGGGGGAAAAATCTCAGTGATATAAGGGAGGCATTATCTCAGCAGCAGTCCTCTATTTCCTCATGGCAATAGATAAAGGACGTGGACAACTGCCTCTGTTTCTTTGAACTCTACTACATTCTTGCCTTTGGAATAAACATTGTGGTAAACTGTAATTTTTATAAAGACGGAGTGTTGGGCTGTGGGATAGCTCAGAGGTCTAAGGACCTGCTTAGGAAAGTGCAAGACCATGGGTTTGATCTCCGGTGCCAAATGTGCTGTGCCTGCTTCACCTCAGGCGCGTGGAGCTAGCCCACAGGACTGGGCGTGGTGGCACATGCCTGTAATCCCAGCGCTAGGAAGGCTGAAACAGGAGGATCATTATGAGTCTGAGCTGCATAGTGAGACCCTATATAAAGACTGAGTGGTGGGGCCAGGGAGATAGCTCAGTAGAATAAGTGCTTGCCTGGCTAGCACAAGCACCTGAGTTTAATCCCTGGTTCTGAAAAAAAAAAAAAAAAGACTGAATGTTACATATTTATAAGTAGTTTCTAATAGTTGTTTCACTGAAAAAGCCCCAATTTCTCTGAGACAATATCATGATTTGAATGAAGACATTGTTTCTTTCTTTTTTTTTGGGGGGGGGGGCAGAACCGGGGATTGAACTCAGGCCCTTGCACTTGCCAGGGAAGCACTTATTCCACTCAGCCATCTCCCCAGCCCCGACATTGTTTCTAAGACTAGAATACTGTTAGGAAAGAAGTCTTGACACAGGAAGTGTCATCTGGGCTTTATATATAACCTCAAAACCGCTCTAGCACCAGAAACTCCTCTGTACTCATCTTTCACCCAAGCCACAGTATCCTGTGTCAGCAAGGGATCTTCCCTTAGAAGTGAACTTCAGCATGAATTCCTCTCCCTAAATAAGCAGATGCAACTGTTCTAGACTCATAGAATTTTGTAACAATGACAATATGCAGTATTTGTGATTCTACAATCAAGTCATAAAGGATGAAATCAGAAATTTTTAGAAGTCATAATATGCAAAGACTGCTTTTAGGAAGGCTTCTAAGTTATACACTAAGGGTGCCCAGGTACCCATAAATAAATGCCTCAGGGAACAAGTCTCAACATCATCAGGGGAATATTCAAGCTAGGCTATGCCTTGGCACCTATCATGGAGGACTACTAAGAAATGAGTATAGCTTGGATCAGATAGCTTCCTCCCATATGAGACTCTCATGAATTTTGAAATAATGCTAATAAGGCCCCGCCACTGGGTTATGCTGAGATGGCAATTGAGACTGAACCTGGTGATGTGTCTGTAATCCCAGCCTTTAGGAGTCTGAAAACAGGAGGATCACTGAGTTGGATCTACGTAGTAAGACCCTGTACTAAATACATAAAAAGGAAAAAAAAAAAAAAAAAAAGAGAAATAATGCTAATAAGCTCACAGGGTTGTAAAGACTTCTGGTTTGTTTTTAGACCTGATGACCAAGTGACCACAGACCTGACCAGGATGCTGAGTTGGGAGATGACAAAGATTCTAATGGGGACCCAGGTGTAGTGGTGTACACCTATAATGCCAGCACTGGGGAGGCTGAGGCAGCAGGATTTCTGACTTTGAGACCAGTCTGGGCTACAAAGTGAGCTCAAGGCTAGCCTGGACTGCATAGTGAAACCCTGTCTCAAAAAGACCAGACCAAAAAGAAAAAATAATAATAATAATAAAGATTTCAATGAAAATAATCCTGTGAATGTGACCAGGTATAATACCAGGAATTACACTCTAGTTATAGGTGCCTGGAAAAACCTTGAAGTTTGAAGGTAAAACAAAATTTCAAACAAGGACTGGGGATAGATACAGCTCAGGGGCACTGTGCCTACCTGGTAAGCACAAGGTCCCAAGTTTGATTCCTGGTACCAAAAAAGAAAAAGAAAAAATGCCCACAAACCAAAAATCCATGAAAGACAAATATATCAAAAATAAGCTTCTCACCCCTCCAGCCTGAAATAAAGTGTCTCACCCTAGTGTTTATCACTAATGTGGTTAAACAAGTATTTCTCTAACTTGCTTGCCTCTGTAAATACTGTAAAACTTGTAGTCTCCCTGCAACATCAGAATGTATCAATGTCTCAAAACAAATATGTGCTTTGTCTCTTGAAATCCTCTGTGTACTGAGCCATGCTTCCCTACTGTGGAGTGTAGCAGAGCCTCCCTGCATTTTCCATTCACTGGTTGTTGTCTCACTTGTGTAAATTAGGTTTGTTTCTTTAACACTGACCAGAAGCAGCTGTTTAATCAACAACTAGGCCTCCTGCTCTGGGCTAGTAATTTCTCAGTAGGGTTTAAATTCCCTGATCTTCCTTTAGGATCTACATAGAAATTTTTGTGGTGGACAACTGGTGTTTGTAGTGTGTAGAGTTCTGAGATAGTAACTTAGAGATCTGGGTTCTATTTTCTGCTTCATCTATGACTTAAACATGGTTCCAAATGGAAAGTGTATAACCTTTCACATATGAGGTATGCCCAGCTGAAAAAAAAGGAAAATTTTAAGTTATCTTGATGAATTTATTCAAATTCAGTGGAATACACTGAAAATGCCATATAGGAGCTCAGGAGGTCCAATTTTGACTCATCAGTTGTTCGAGCCAGACAAATTAAGTAATTTTCTTTTTCTTCCTTTGATGGGAACAGGGATTGAACTCAAGCCCTTGTGCTTGTCAGGAAAGCACTTATTCAACTAAGCCATCTCCCCAGCCTTAAGTAAATGTTAATGTCACAGAGGCTCTATACCAATGTTTAGAGTTAAAAAGAGGAGCCATTTTTCTAAGCCTTCAATATAACAGATAAGTTATACCTTTTAAAACAATACTTACAGGCTGTGGGTATAGTTCAGTAGTAGAGACCTTGTCTACCATATTTTAAACTCTGGGTTTGATCCCTAGTCACACACACACACCCTTTTGAATTTAAAAAAAAACAGCCTACCACCCATGAACATTTTCTTCCCTGAATTAGCCTGTTGACAAGAATTGTCACCCACGCTATTGAATTAGATGGTCTACTACCCCACAAAAAGCTAAAATATATGGTTTCTTTTTTTTTTTTGTTTTTTTTGCGGAACCAGGGATTGAACTCAAGCCCTTGCACTTGCCAGGCAAGCTCCTATTCTACTGAGCCATCAATGTGATGATTCTTGATCAGCATGGTGGCACATGCCTGTAATTCTTGCACTAGGGAGGCTAGGGTAGAAAGGTCATAATTGGAAGGGCTGGGCTATATAGCAAGACCCTGTCTCAATAAAAGTAAGTATCAATGTATACATGCATGTACACAATTTTTTTTTTTTTTTTTTGGAACCGGGGATTGAACTCAGGCCCTTGTGCTTGCCAGGGAAGTGCTTATTCCACTGAGCCATCTCCCCGGCCCCTATGTACATTAATTTTTAAGAGAATTACATCCCTGTGTGTGGGAGGAGTTATAGATAGATCACAACACAGGAATAAAAATGGAGATCCTGCATGAAACAAAACCAAAAGGAGAATCATCTCATACCCAGAAGACAACAGGCCACTTCACTCTCTAGACAGTAAAGTTGAGGTAATTAGTAGAGTTCCCTCTTACTAAGATCATTCTCACTTTTGTAATATCTAGTACTGTGCTTAAAACTCAGTAATTATGTAACTGTTACTATAATAAAATGTCTTTGGGAATAAAACTGCTTTAAAAAACTGAGCAGACACTGTGTACTAAAATTACTTTATTACAGTTGATTTTTTAAACATTTCCTTTGCTATGATACAAAGGATACTTACAAACAAAATATTACATATGACCTTGTTTTCGCTCTTATGTTCTGACAACTTGGTAACAGCTTTAAATGCACAATCTATACAATTAATACAGGTTATATATGAACTATAAGGTATGCTGAACCAGAAGAATACTGACAATATACTGTACATTAAGCCTTACCAATTAGTGCTGTGGACCATTACTACCAGAAGGAAAATGCACATCTGTACAGTCACCTTGACCAGCTGGTGCTGACAGCGAGGGAGAGGCTTTTTCCCACTCAACCCTTGATAAGCCTCCACTGTGGGTGTCTGTTTGGTCCAAAATTTGAAAGGACTGTGTTTAAAATTCCTCATCAGTAAAGTGGTAGAACACTACCACACTTTCAACATGATAATTTCTCACAAAAGAAAATAAAAATCTGTCCCAGCTTTAAAAGACCGTAAGTCCTTTGTCCACTGTGAAAACCCTACAGGCTCAAGGGCTTTGGGAGATGAGAAGATGAAGGCTGCCAAAAAATGAGGCAAGAAACCAAGCCAAAATCTAGGTCTTGCAAAATCATTTTTCCCTTCACCAAAGGGAACTAGAAATGTACAAATTCATTGATGAACCTCAATGATAACATATCAGTTAGCTGATAACCTTCATTTTATTTGGACCCCTGACTCATGGGAATAACTGACAGATTGTGGATAACATCTACCATTTTCAGAAAAGAACATCTTGCTTAAAATATTCCCTTCAGCTACCGCAGCTGGTCCTGGGCTATGACAGGTGTGCATTCATCTCTCAATGGTCTACTCAGAAATGATAAGGTTACAGCTTTTATCTTTTTTTTTTCTTTTTTCTTTTTAAATAAAAAAGCAATTGACTGAAGCGTTTTCTTTTTTTTTTTTTTTAAGGTAAATAGCAAAAATAAAAATAAAAACCAACCCTGGCATTTGCACAAATAATGCAAATGGAGTGATATGGCCTTTAAAGAAGGAGTTAGTGGAAGAGAGAAGTGAAGAACCAGAGAAAATGATGTATTTTTTCCTTTTAAAAATTTCTACATGTGCAAAATAAAACATGCTGTTTGAGGATAGCAAAGGGAAATGAGTACTTAAAACTAAAAATATAAATAATGTTTGGATGACTGGTAAAAGCAGAAACCAACCTGGGTTACAAAAAGGATTATACATTCAAGATGCTCTTAAACCCAGTGGGATAACTTACGTTAAAACTGTTAATAGCTACGTTAAAAATCTCAAGTTTGTTTTTAAATCTTCACAATACAAGCAAAGCTGTTTTAAAATATACACTATACATATTTCTCATAGTCTCTCCAACCTCATTAATAAGCATTAGGCTTTTTCATAAACTAAAACAAGGAGGTTTGGGAAGCTAAACTGCTTATAGTAACCCATCCATTATTTAAATGTTTAAGTCTTAAGTGGGTTAATATAGCAGACTTAGATAAATAGGATTTAGCAACACAGGTGTTAATTTAAAAAACTCTAAAGCATTTACAAATGATTAGGTTGGAACATTCTGGGGAAGTTATGTGCACTATACTTTTAAAATGTTATTTACATCAGACCATTGCTTTTGTAAAAATTTTCCTAAAAAGTTAAAAAAAATTGAATTAACCTGTCTAAACTAGTGGAGGATCATAAAAGGTTAAAATAACAAAATTATCTAATAGAAACCCCACACATCCCTCTTCACTTAAGATTTTACTCTAGAAGCCACTTGCAAATTGTAATAGGCTCATATATGTTGTCAGGATGTGGTTAAAATACACTGTCAAATAACTGGCCTCAAATAACCTTTTGCTGTTGTTGTTGTTGTTGTTTTTTTGAAGGAAGGCAAGGGTTTTTTTAGCACACAGTTACTGGAGGTTTCAGTTCATTGTTGTTTTTTGAAGATGTTTTCCTCCCTGTGTCTTGGGACACTTGTAATTAATTGGAGGGGCGCTCTAATTAGGCACAATTCCCATTTAATGTGGAATAAAAGGGGGAAAATGCTGTTAGGAAGAAGGGGTGGTGGTTTCTTTGATAGTATGAAATGCGAGGAAGCACAGTACACTTGGAATGGGCACCAAAAGAGCTTCTCTGGCAATAAGCCAGCAGCAGTCAACATCTTGGTAAACCAATATACCTGTTTATGACTCCCCAACAAAAGTGTTAGATAGGTTCCAACACCCTTCAGGGTTTCTTGATATGTGCCAAATGGTCACACAGACCAGCCAGAAACTGCAAACAATAGGCAGTTGTATCCTTTTTAATTATATACTTCATTCTATGACCATGTGCAATTTATAAGTAATAATAATGTTCATGCCTAGACAATGTATTTGAGGGCTAAGGAAAAGCAAAATGTGCCACTGAGAGAAACCTGTTCCCATATAACTGGTCTTCATGCTTTCAAGTGGCTCTAATATACCTTGGATACTAAGCCAAGCCATGCAAAAGCACAGAGTACACACTTTTCATTAACATTGGTATCTCATTTCTAAACCACTGACTTCAAAGTAGCCATAAAACAAATAACACAGTACTGAAAGCATACAATTGAGGGTTCATGGATTTTTAAGAAATGCATTTCCCTCACCTATGTTCACCAGTCTTTAATACCTTGGCTACAAGGCATATCAGAGAAAGGGAAGTTAAATGGGGGTAATGTCTAAGGAACATATGTAATTCTGGAATTAGAAAAATGTTCCAGAAATGGGATAAATGTGCCAGCAATAAGCATAGTTCAATTCATTTGAAAATTCAGGTTAAGAGCCCATGAACAATCCCAAACCATAATGTTATCACCTGCATAATTTACATAAACAGTAACACACTTGTGCACTTTATAGACAACACACACTTCTGTAAACATGGCCACTAGGGGAGGGAGGCTCCTACCTCATTCATGACTGAGGATATGTACTTATTATATTAAATAAAGTTACTTAGCTTAAAAGATTTCAAACCTGACCAATGATTAAGCTTCATTTCCCCCTGTTTAACAACATGTAAGCATTAATTCTAAAAATGTATGTCACCTAGGATGGTTTCAGGGTTAGAACCACGAATGGCAATGACAGCAACTCCTTTCTAGCTGGCACAGACCTATAAACTTTAGTACAAAACCAAAAAAATACAGAAACTAGGTCAATTTGTTAGCTACATATTTACAGATAATTACATGATTTTTCACTCACAATTACTAAAAACTGTGAGTAAAAGGAAACTGTGCAGGTTGAATTACCCGTACTTTGAGGGGAATTCTTGGGCATCAAGATACCCTTTTTCATTCATTCAGAAGCCTCACATTTTCTCCATTTCTCCATGGCAAACTACCTACAGATGTTTAGATTAGTGTATCCAGTGGGCATCCTGCTATTTGAGAGAAATAACTTTTTCTCTAAAGAACCCCTTATATATTTAAAAATAAAACAAAAATACAATCAAACAGACACACCCCCACACCAAAAATAAAATAAAATAAAAATCATGGAATTTCAAAAGCTTGGATTGCTGGGAAACAGTTAACAGTGATGGTGACATAGTACATGGCTCCCCAAGTTTAATATTCTGCCTTTATTTTCTTTAAAATATACCAATCTTTGGGTAGGCGGGAAGTGCAAGTTTAAAAAGCCCACAAAAGGCAGATAAGGTGCTACTAATTTATGTATTTCTTATGATCTGAAGACTACCATCAGGCCAAATGGATTCTCTTCCTTTGTATGCATAAAATTTTTAGATGAATAGGAGGAAATAATTAGTCAATATGACTTTAAAGGAGGCTATCACAATTCAGTAGAACATGACAATAAAGGAAGAGTTCTCAGCTTCGCTTTCTTTTTCTAGACAGTGTTTAATAAAACTTCTTTACAAATTAAATGATTTCCAATGCAGATCTATTGTAGCAATTTCATAAAAGTGCGACAATATAACCAGACACAGCAAAACAGACTTCAATCAGTAGTCCTTGCATACATAAGAGGCAAGTATGCTAAACGTACAGCACACTCTTCCTTAAAGGAAGCTGAGCACGGGAACTCTCCAGTTCTTAACAACTATGACTGAGTGCATTTAAAAGGCTACCATGTTAGATAGGAGAAAGCGAAATAGAGAATTTGTTTCTCTTCAATAATCAATAACAATCTGTATCTTGGTAAGCAGCTCAAAGATGATAGCCCAAGTTTTAATTTTGCTGCTTAAAGAAGGCTCTAAGAAATGAGAATTTCTTCATCCATCACCATAGGAGATTCACTTTATACACCTAGAATATATTTCTGACTTGAATACACATTAGGATACTTCACATTTTCAGCATGGGACAAAATGCAGAATGGTATAAACTTCCAAGGACAAGGTTGCTGTGTTGGGCCAAATCTCTGTTTAAATACTAGTGGCACAGAAAGGGTGGAAGGTACACAAAGAACTTACTATTAACAAGCAAAAAGAGGCAGCTAAAGGCAGAAAGCCCCTCACACCAATGCCATAATCTGCTCTCAGTGGCCCCTTCTTGTTGATTGTATAGTCGGGAGAACCTTAGATGCTTTAGTTATAATTCTTTTTTGGCTGTTTAGGTCCTCAGAAAAACACATAATTATAGCATCAAATGAATAAAAAAAAAGAGGATCAATGGCATCACTACTACAAAATACAGAAAATATACACCAATTGTGTGATTTATTTGTTCTCTTTATCATCTTTGCAGAGAAATCACCACCAGTGTTCTTTCCACAATTCATTTCTTTTTTGTCATCACTCATCTTTTGTTGTATCACAATACAAAACTCACAGAAAGACTAACTATAACTAGCTCTTTCCCCAGCACTATTTTACTGCACTGCAACTATGGTTCCGTATTTTTCTTTTCTCTCCACTCATACAAGTGCTAAGAGGGGATTGGAAAGGAAAAGACTGAATCTAATGATCACTTTCTCATAAATATCAACCCAGAATACTCATTTTTTAAAAACACCTGCATTCTTGCCTTAACTGAGGACTGAAATAAAACCCAACAAAAACAGAACCTTAAGTGCCCTTGATGGAAATGTACAGAGAGTTACACACATCCATCTACACACACAGACACTCATATGTATATACAATATATACATACAAATGATAATAACTATACCAAAAATGTGCATATTTAACAGTTTTTAAAAGCCAGTAGATCATGGTATAATACAATTTATTTCCACTAGTGAATGGCACAAATGGAGAATTGCAAAGAGGTGTTTCAAGTACAATGAAGTCATTTTCACAGGTGAAAATAAATAGTATTATTCCAGTGTCCAACACAATGTATTTTATAAAAGTTTAAAATGCCAGACATTTAGTACTTACAAAAGCAGAAAGTTACTAAAGTCTGTCTTATGATCTAAAAAAAAGACACCAAAATTTTCCATTTTTGAAAAGAGGGGTGGGATTTGAGAACAAATTTGTAGAAATGGGAGCAGTTAGGAAGATGTCCTTAGTGTTTTGGATGTTTACCTATATCCAGGCAGCTGAAAATCATGGTTATGATTAAGTTCAAATTACTTAAAGTCTATTATATCTGAGGGTGTGACTTCAAATGCAGGACTAGTCATCTCTGTGCACAGAAATGACAAGAAAAGAATGTTAATTCCGATAAAAAATAATATAAACACATTCTTGAGCTAACATCTACACAGTGAAAATGCTGTTTGGGGTTAGAACTGACTTTTAAAAAGAAAAAAAATGTGCAAAGGGAAGAACATCTAATTAGGAATAAAATGTTTCAACATATGAGGCTTTGCATTTTTAAAATGCTAACAGAAAAAAGGAAAAAGGGCAAACACAAGGAATTTTTCACTGCCAGGCTCTGGATACCAGATATAATGTTTACAATGTCTGATATGCTACACAATTTCCCATACTCTTAATTTTCTTAAACACATCTATGAGTGAACACCAACACCAGGGAGAGGTAGTGTTAGTATGATCAAATTTTGACATTTGCACACAGATTAAGAAAGTGCTTGCTCTTTCCTCAGGGTATCTTAAAACCCTTCAAATTTTCCTGCTACCAGTTTTACTCTATGATGGTTCTTACCATATGAGCTTCATTAGAAATTAACATCCCACAAACACACAAAAACCAGTTAGTTTGAATCATTTTTGCAAACTACATATATTTTAATTAAGATTAATGATATAATCCATATATAGCAATGACCTACATGTAAAACTAGTTATCACGCAAATAAGATACAAAGCCTTACTGGACAGACATTTGGAGTCAGTATTCACTCAGGGTTTTCCTAAGTATATGATATGTATGAACTTGTTATAACTCAATTAGCCTAACTGAAGCTCACAAGAGGACTTTGAAATGTATCGCTAGTAGTACTTTTAGTTTGCAAGAGGTTTTGTAAGCAAATCTGAGCTGATTCCTTATACTCTTTTCAGTAGTAAACAGGGGCCAGATCTCTGAAGAATGATTTCAAAGGTATTAAACTCTTGTATTTCTGGATACTTTATTAAACTCTAAAGCTCTTATAATTTCCCTCCAAGGAGATTTCTCACTGAAACATTGCTTAATAGTTGAATGCAAATAAAGGAAGACTAAACATACGTCATATTTACATAAAAACTAGTGATCTGGAACATGGCCAAGAGGACAACACAACATAGTGCTACTTGAAACACTGGCTAGAAGAACTCCATTTTGATCTTGGTTTTTAAAGGATTTATATTAAATGCATTAATTTTTCTTATAGCTACCTTCAAATCAACGTCGGAAATTCCTAGAGGTTTCATGGAGACTGGGCTGACGTACAGTACCTAAGAAAACTTAAAAATCTGATTGACAAAATCAACTGACAGATTACAATTTGGTCATTAGATTGGTCTAGGAAAGACTATTATTATGAGGGACTTAGAGAGTTCTATCTTGGAGCCCTCTGAGTATATGAAAAGCAGGATCCAGAGTTAGCAGCAAGTGTTATTCAAGACAACTAGGAAGGAGGCAGGATAATAACTTGTAAGAAACTCTGATCTGTTACTAAAGAGGACATTTTTTTTTTCTTCAAGTCTTATTCACAGCTTCCCACCCACCTCCAACTCAACTTCCACATACACAATGGAAAAACCAAGTAACATGTGACTTTCAACATTGGGTTGATCCTTCATTATAAAACAAAAAACAAACAAAAAACCAAAACATGCCCCCCCATGTTAGCTTTTGTTAAGAGATTCCCTGACCACTCTAGCTTTTTTATTTATTTATTTATTTATTTATTTATTTATTTATTTATTTATTTTTTGGGTCAGACTTTCTAGTTCCTTTTCAGTAGTATTTTAGCACTGAGGCTTGAGACTTCTGGAGTGGTGTTTCCTACAGTGTGATGTTAACATGATCACAAACAGTCACTAAGTCTCAATGAACTAGAAGTTTGTAAAGTACTGCAGCAACAAAAACAGCAATTATAAAACAAAGAACCTGCAGATGCAGTAAAATCTACAGTGGTGATGAAGATTAGTCAGCAGCTGGTTGTTGATGGCTCAGTGGCTCCTGGTTCACTATGGCAACTAAACATTTAAATAACTGACTAGTCTACTTGTAAACAGGAATCCCATAAGCCAAAAGTGGATAGTCTAATAATGTCTATGTAGTGTGATGAGAATTCCTATAGATGGCAGTTTGCAAATATGGCATCATTCAAATACCTCTGGCATTTGATTTGTATTGGCTTTATGTCTTTGTTTCTGTACAAAGTAAAAGTACTGTTTGGGATGTTAGGACTTTAAGAGCTTAGCTAAGAGGAGATATCACAGTATAAGCAACAAATGTTAGGATATATACACTTCATCTCCTCACTCTGCTGCTGGACTTAGCTATCACATGGATGTTCAGGGGACTCCTATCACTCTGCTGCCTTCCTCTCTAAAGGCTCACAGCTTGGTTAATGCAATTTCTACATAGTTTGTGATCTCCTTAAGCAACTCCATCTTACTGTGACACAAAGAAGGCACAACTGACTGGACAAAAATCATTGACAAACTTAAGACATTCAGAAAAAGAACTAAGTCATTTTCTCCCATCTGAAAAGATCAGTACAATCCTTTAGTGTTCATAGATTTCTGCACTTTAATCCAAATGAGGCTGAGAAGTCAGACCAATTTAATATAAAGAAAATACACTGGTGAGGAGGTACAGGTATACTCCTATAATAACTTGTTTCAGTAAATGCTGCCTGCTGTCAGTGTCTCATAGAAATTTTGAATATGGAAGATAGTTTTAGATTTTCTCATAAACTTCTTACGATATGATACCCTAAAATGATGGTTCAAGTCACTTTTGCTGCATTTTATTTTTGCACTATTTAAAAAATACCCCTCTATATAGCCAATTTCATTTTACTACATGCATGAGTTATATAATATCAACTCCCCTTTCTCAAAATTTCCCCCAAAAGTTAAAAACAAACAAACAAACGAACAAACCCGGCAGCCAAATACTATGACATCCCAATTAGTAAACACAAAACAGAACGCTTTACAAAATGAATAAAATATACCATTATGCACTCAGCTTCCACACTGTAGTACCCAAGTGAGGAGGCTGCTGTGATGATGTCTGTAGGCAGTTTCTTTTGGCAGACAGCTCCAGCGGAATTGTGACTTTCAATTATTAAGTTATGTATAAGACATGTGTGACCCATTGGATATTTGTGAAGTGACACTCGTGCTTCTGCTCATGCCCTGCTCCGTCCGTCCCCCAGAAGCTGTCCGCCTCAGAGCCTGGGGGCTATTGCGGACTCCTAAACTGCTACCTCGAGGTACCCCTTGCATTGGCCCCGAGGGATGACCCCATGGTTGGGGTCCACCTTGCATTGGATGGCCCCAAGCTTGTGGCGGGCCACCCATGGGATGACCCCAGTGAGGTCCTGGACCCCCAGCAGGACTGTGAGACCAACCAGAAGCTCCTGGGTAGCTGTGGCTGAATGCTTCAGGGGAAAGATTAGAAAGGACCATGTTACTAAAACCTAGTCTCATGCTTTCAGAGTCAAAAGCTTCAATTTCTCTGGCTTGACGCTCCAGCAGGCTTCGTATTCGTTCTGTGCGCTCATTCTGCAAAGCCAACATTTCCTCTTCGATCTGTTGGTGGTTAGGGAAGGGAAACAAAAGAAAAACCCATTTAGTTTTAAAAGTCTATAAACTAAGGAAACAATGATTACCTGATTTTGAAGTGACTATTTTATTGATGGCTATTTTTTATTTAAGAATAAAAAGAGACGTACTATAGGAATCAGGCACAATTGCTATTTCTGAAGTGTATAAGAATTTATTTTGGAGTCACTTCCCCACGTTCTTCAGACCTCCCCTGTCCGGCCAGACCCAGCACAGCCTGCCCTCTGAGTGAGAACTTCCACCGCGCCTTGGGCCCTCCATATCTGACCGACCCCAGGCCCTGCCAGTGTGGGGGAGAGCTTCTGCTCTGTCCTGCGCCAGTCCGCCGCTCCAGGCCCAGGCCCGCTGAGTGAGAGAGTCACTTCCCTGAGTTCTCCAGACTACTCCAGACCACCCCCACCTGACCAGACCCAGCGCAGCTTGCCATCTGAATAAGAACTGCTGCTGAGCTCTTGGGAGTCCTGCAGACCCACCAAAACACAACACTGGTGAGTGTGTGGGAGAACTTCTGCGCTCTCTTGCCCCCGCTTCTCATACCCCTCCAGATCCAGCCCAGATCTAGCATACAGGCTTGAGGTAAAACCCTGCAGCTAAAGTCCCCACAATGAGAGACTAGGGTCAGATCCACACAGCTAATCCAGGAACAGATCATCTTACCAGAGGTGCACAGCAAGCCCACCTCCAAGGGCAACAACAGTAAGGAGCTGACCACAGTAGCCTAACACAAGCCAGGCACAACTGTATGAACAGAACTTGGTATATCAGTACCTGAATTTCATTAAGTGATAACATAAACTACACCAAAGGCCACAGGTCAGTGTTAAACGAAATGATAAAGACAAGGAGCAAAATGCAATTTCAGGTCTCAAGCCCACCCATAACAAGTGCAGAGGACACTAGCTCAGCTGAAATAAACAAATAGTGTCAGAAGTAAATAAACAAGAGCAGAAAGATATAGAGGAACTCAGAGCAGAATCAATTTCTGGAATTAAAAAAAAAGAAA